TACAAAAAAATAACTTGACCAACATAAATAGGTCACACAGTACATTTTCAAAAGATTTTAACCGAACGTAACTATGTTGGTCACAAAATCGTAGACTTTTTTGAACGTAGAGTCTTATGGGAGCCTGAAACTTCCCTTCTCTCTGAAGAAGTATTAAAAAAACTGAGGAAAAATTTTCCTCCGACCGATCCCTGCTTCTTAATCCGTTATAAAAATCGTACATCTACCAACTACCACATTATTAAATATTAATTTCCAGCCAAGTACCGATGCCACCTTGAAGGCAGTCTTGTCTTGACTGACGTCACTCTGAAGGCGTCTTAAGCCAGAATAAATTAATTCTCTCGTATCGATAATCGCCTCTCATTTACGTGCGATTCAATGATAAACTTTATTAGACTCTTTACTCTCCGTTGTTGGGTACACATTGAAAAATGTAAATCAATTTTATCGTAAGAACAATATTTATGTGAACAAAAAATAAATGTCAGTGATCGAGAGAAGCAGCGCGTCTGGCAAAAATTGATCTCATCAACTTGTGCACAAGCTCGAGGCTGATGCGCAAAAAATAAAATAAAAATTAATACTGCAAAGGCTGGATGTACCCATTGTGTCCTGTAAAAAACGAACCATCGCACGACCTGCATGTAATATACGTACATGTAACTGTCAGGCCGCGTTAGCTCCGACGCAAGTACACACGATCACGAGCGCGCGTTAAAGGACGTATGCAAATATTACGCGACGCGTTGGTAGGAAAAAAAAAAAAAAAAAAAAAAAATTGCAACGCACGCACTGACATACATCGGTAGGACTGCGTGCGCACGCGTGCCTTACTTCTTACTTTTTATTTGATGCACTTGCGAGAAGGAGAGAGAAATTGATGTCTAATAAGTGTTTCAGACTCATGGTATGGAGATATTGGACTTTATCTGTACGTAAATGTGCGGGCACGGATGTTTTTGCACATTCTAGTAGAAAAAAAAAATTTTCTCTCTTAAATAAACTAAAATCTGAACAAATTTTTTTGTGGAAAAATGTATGATGCGTTGAAGTTTCTTCATTACATTCATGCGAAGGTAGATAATGAGACTTGTTCAATCGAAATTGATACTGTGGTTATTATTTTGTAATGATTTATGAACGAACGTATTGTAACATGCACAGTATATCTATGTGTTCTGTATATTAGCTGACAAGTAGCGCCGCTTTGATGGTTGAAAAGTGAACTAATTCTACTATTAAGCAATGAACGAATTTCAAATTTTATCCCGCCATTTAAGTCGAAATATAAGTTATCTGGTAACTTGAACAGATTTTTTAAATTGTGCAGTTCAGGGCTCCCGTAATACATTTTATTGCAATATAAAATCGAGAATGTCGTACTAACGAGATGTGGTCTGTTTTTATGTTAGAGATCGACTGATTTGTAGAAGAAGCTTCATGAGCAAGAAATTAAAATGAGCTGAATAGATCCATGAAGCTGTACTTGTAGAAAATATTTATCATTGAAACAATTAAAAAGCTAAACAAAAAATATCAGGCATTAAAGTGAAGAAATTAGATCAAGTCAAAAAACCAACACTCAAAGGTGCATGGATTGCAGCTCATGAATCATAAAAATATTTATTAAACTATAACTACGATAAAATATAACTACGATATTAATTTCGATAATTCAAGGCTACTTAATTTCTTTTTTCATTTTCTTGCAGATGTAAACAAAAAACTTTTGCAGTACAAGCACCATTTGCAGGTTATATATTTTTCCATCATATTTTGCATTTTTCCCACTATTTGTCACGAAAAGATTTTCTGCACTCAAGTTTATTCGAAATATCGAATGTATCAAAACATCTATGCTAACACATTTTTTTATCACTGAAATTTTTAGCTAATGCACCTATACTATTAGTATTTAGTTAGGGATTGATTGGCACAATGTTTTTGAGAGATTTTGCCGTGCATTTTAAGGGTTTTTTTTTTTCAATAAAAGAAAATGGTATTTATTGATGCTCTAGTAACAAAATACTTTTTTTTACGTTAGGTAAAAAGTTGGTGTAAAATTTTAATGGTCGAAACGTGGAGTGATTGTCAAGATACTAAAAACATGTGATTAGACTATGAATACGTAAAACTAATTAGTTTTCAAACATTGTTATCTGACAGTCTACATTTTTTGCATTTCAAGCATTAAGTAACTCCGAAAGTACGAGTTTGGGATTAAAAAGTTCTTAGGGAAAAAAGTAATTATGCCAACCTCTGAGAATCGCCCCACGTGTTTTAGTAAAATAAAAAAAAAAAATGTTCAATTTTCGTAAAATTAAAGTAACACAGAACTCAGTTCGTACTATGCCTATATTGTAGTCCAAACTAAATTCATCGAATTTCAATCCATAGAAGGAATAATCATAAAAAAAAAAAAAACAAAAAAAAAACCAACTGAACTTTACCGAAAATGTTTCACGTGTCAGCCATCAAGAACGAAAAGAAAAGCGCACAATCGGCGCATTGTTTTTTTCGCGGTTCGGCAACCTTTCGAGAAATATATGCGCGAGACGATCCAGAATTCCGTGCGCGTTCTGGTGAATAAGCCCCTTCCCCTCTTGCCTCTTGATTTTTGCCGGTGTTTTACGATGACGCAACAAAGGGACGGGATCGGGGTTCTTTTTCTCGTCGAGAAGGAGCTCGTGCCTCGAATCTCCGAAAGCTTGGGTTTTACGAGTTGCTCACATTTATTTTATCGAGAGATTCAGGTTTATTTATTTTTTTTTTTTTCTCAAAAATTCAAACTTTGAGAGACAACTGCTGGAAATCATATTTTGCGAACAGAAAATGCAAAGATTTGCAAGAACATGCCAGTAATAACTGCGTGTATCCTTGTAATTGTACAAACAAATTTTGATTTGCAAGTTGATGAGAAAAGACCTTGAATTTTCGACAGCTGTAGTAATAGTTATTTTTATTTTATTTAATGCAAAATTTTGTTTAAATAATAAAAATGCATGAGATAAAAGAATAAATAAATGAATAAATGAAAATTCAATAATATTACAATCTAAATTTAATGTTACGTAAACCTAATCATGTTTTTAGTAATAAATCAATTAATTTTGTAAATTTAGAGCACATGCACGTTTATTACTTTTAAAATATTACGATTTAGTCGTCTACCTCACAAGGGGCCCCACAAAATGTGAGTCCGACCATGCTAAGGGAAACTTGAAAGCTGTCCCAGTAATATTCTAAATTTAGAGAAATAAAAAAACCGAAGGTCGAAACCAACCGAATGCGGAAAGGAGGCGACGCATTGTACACATTGTAAAAAATCCATGTTGAGTACATTAAAAAAAATATATATAATCATAATCATATAATAAAGCAGGTAATGCTAGAGGTATTATTTCGTTTGCGTGTCCCTAAAAAAATCGTCAAATTTTTAACACTTGTCGCTTTTAGTGTAAAGTAGTAAAACCCATATGTTATAGTGCGATATTTACGGAGGAAAAAGAGGAACCAACTCTCGAGTGACCTAATTAAAAAGTGCGCGTTAATTAAGCTAGTATAATATGCTTGCGCACTCTAAATTGACCCTATTAAGCAAGGACGAGAAAATCGCTTTTCCTACCTACATTCAACGATGAAATTCAATGACTCACAGCAACGAGTCTACGTACGCTAAAATATTTACACTATTTTTGTTTGTTTATGTAATAATTATTATTTATTACTTTTGTTGTTACCATATATTTATACAGCGGTGCGTAAAGATGACAACACACCTACACCCAGTTTTATACAAGTTTATTTATATATATTTTTTTTTTCATTTTCGGGTTAGTGCGTTGTATACCCTGGATTTTAGACTCCGTGAGATAGTTACAATGCAAGGCGAAATAATAATAAATGAAGGTAAAAAAAAAAGATTCGTTATACCAGGCTCCTGTTATTGGAAAATGTCAGTGCTTCGCGAAAAATAAATAATATTTTTTCTAAAAACCAGAAAAAGTACTTGAAAAACCAAGAACAGTCACAAGTATAGCGTATTACAAAGAGAAAATAATACTAATGAATAAAAAAAATCGAGAATTGGAAGAGCAAAAAAAAAGTCAAAGGTTAACAAATAATGTTGAAAGGCACACACTCACGACCATAATTAATCGTATAGAAATAAAAGAACTACCACACAATGACATAGCAAATGCACGATATACCATCACCACAAGGATAATAAAAATTAAAATAAGTACAATATATATACGTATAAATAAACACTAAAGAGTTGTTAAATCAGTGGACGGGGTACATATATGGTACAAGTAACGTGGGGAAAGGTTGTACTGCTAGGTAAATACAGAAATTTTTCTTTTAATTTTCTTTAAATTATTCGTAAGTGAATGATAAGTATTTTTTGACGTCTTTCGTTAGTTTTGAAAACTGAGGGACACCCGTCTTTTGCAATCATGTGCGACACTCTTTTTTTCTCTTTTTCAACGCGTTCCTTAGTAGCATTGACTAATAAATAAAAAAAATAAATAATTAAAAAATAAAAAATAAAAATGCAGCTCTACGCTTCACATAAATGAACTGCGAGATGATTCGTGAAACAAAGATGCATGCAAAATACGTGATATAAGTTAAGAACTTGTTTGCTCAGTTCGTCAAAAATAGCGCAACTTTTCGATTTAAAGGAAAGAAATAAAGGAAAATAACAACAATAAACCACAAAATCGAAAAAGTGCGCGAAATCTCGAACAACTGTTCTCAATCGTCAGGGGAGGGGACACACTTGATGCATGAAAAAACACGAATAAGTCCATTTACATATATTTAGTTTCGAGGAATCATTTTTGAAAGTTTCAAGGGCGAAGTAGGAAGAAGAAAAAAAAACGAGGCATGAGAAAACAAAGATAATAATATATACACACTCGTGATGTATAAACGGAGGGAAACTAAAAATATACATATGCCCGATTTGCTTATTAGTCTCTTTTTCTTACCATCTAGTCCATCCAGCATTTCCGGTGGATTGTGGTGGTCCGACGAGTCAAGGCCCGCGGCTACGCTGTCATTCAGGCCGAGTCCGCCTCCACCGCCTATGCGATCACCACCGCCACCACCACCCCCAGATTGGGGGACGCTGTCCTCGTTCATCACACCGACCGGATGACCCTGAGATACAATCAGACGTTTCACATATACATATATATTTTTTTTCTGGTTAATAACAACAAGATGTGCGAGTATATGTGAGTGCAAGTGTCTTTACTACACTAAGAAAAAAAAAAAAATTATAGAGAAATTCTAGCAAAAATTACCATTTCGCACAATAAATCGGATGCCAGTTGGCAAAAAAGGAAAAAGTTGTTATTTTTTTAAATTAAATGTTATTGTTTTAACAGTTAAAATTATGGTTAGAACTGTAAAAATTTCGATGCAGGCAGGTAAAATTTATTAACCGATGCTATTAAGGTTTACTGTTCCAGTATAATAATTTTTACTTTTCGAACCACAATTTTTATCTGTTAAAACAATAACCTTTACTGTTAAAAATAATAATTTTTTTCCTTTTTCGCCAGCTTGCATCCGATTAACTGTGCGGAATGGTAATTTTTGCTGGAATGGCTATTTAATTTTTATTACTTTTTTCTCTCAGTACATACAACAAGAATTATCAATTGGTTGTTAATGTTAACAAATAATTTAAAATCATTAAAAAAAATTTTTTTTTCACAAGAAATGTGTTATCAAAATAGTGTACCTACAAAGTTATTAACACAACAATGTTGATNCAGCTTGCATCCGATTTACTGTGCGGAATCTCAATTTTTGCTGGAATTTCTCTATAATTTTACTATTTTTTTCTCTCAGTGTAGAAAGTGTATTTTTATCTCTACGGTAAGATTAATAAATGAAAGTCCAGAACATTGACTACATGCTTTAGTATTTGTCAAGCGATTGGCATCGAAATTCATTGAATAAGCATGCCCAACAATAAACGCGCATGGAATGCCACGGAGCTGTATTCCGTTATGTGCACATTCGTATAACTGTATGAATGAACTTTGTATGAGAAAAAAAAAGACAGAAACAAAAAGTAGTCAATCAGGGCCAGTGGGGGGGGGGGGCTAAGCAGGGTAGAAGTACCCCAGACCGAAGCCTCAGGCTTGGGTACCTAACGAAATATAAATATCGAACGTAAGTTGTAAAGTTGGCAACTAAAATTTTGAATCAAGTACCTGAGTATGAAAACCTATTTGAATCTAGTGTTGTTGAAAAAAATGTAAGTATACTCGGTGAAAAAGTTAGAGTAATTTTTACTTTAAAAACTATTAAACTATATAATGTATACGAGTGGACACGGTAGCACAGTGGTTTAGGCTACGGTGTAGCTCGAGGGCTTGTTAACACATGCTCACGAGTTCGAGACCTAGCCTTTTTACTCACTTGGCTTGCACCTCGGAGAAACTAATTTTGTTATGTGCGTATTTCGGTCCGATAGTTTGAAAAGCATGTAAAATAAAACTGTTACTCAATGGTTTTTTAATTAAATTTAAAAAATTTAATTATTTTTAAATTAAATTATATTTTTTTACTAAACGAATCTTTGAGGCAGAATATGTCGAGCAATTGTCATGTATTTCGTTTACCAAACGCTTGCTTGATTAAGGACGTTCATTACACATAGCGTTTTGTCTAGAATCTTCCAGAAATTTCAACAGGATACTCGTAATGATATTAGAAAGTCACATATAAAATTTGAGACCGTTTTACAACACAGTTTTTTAGATATTAAACGTTGAAAAAACTTAAATTTAACACGTAACCTTATGGAGGAGTCACATAAAAATGGAATTTATAAAAAATGGTCTGAAGAATTTTTCCAATTTTTTTTGCATGACGCAATACCATAAAACTAATATTATATTCAATTTCCAAAGGGACCGAGAAGTTATTTTAGTAATAAAATAAAAAAACAGTGTTAGACGCATGTATATAGGTATACAAATGCATGCAAAACAGTTGCCGTCTCTGCCGCATGCTCGCTCTCCCCTCATTGCACCCTCTACATTTTCCCACTGACTGTAATGAACGTCCTTACTGAAATGTCATAGACATATGTGACTACCCTACGGACTTTAAATTTACAAATGACTGAATTTAATTTAAGGTTATGTTTTTCACTGCAACTACACGTTTATGAGAACTTTCACATGCATGGCTCAAACGGGTTTTGAATTACAATTAACAACGTTCATCTACAAGTATATAGCTAAATGTAAACAAAATATCTCTAATGTGTTCATAAAATTGCAACGCAAATTTTACCAGAGTGGTGAAACATACTAAATAATAACATAAGCAATACAAATAAAAAGTAAAAGCTACTAGTCAGTTGCCAGTGTTATCAATGTGCATCAATGTGATGCAAAAAATTTTTTTATTGTATTAAGCAAACCATTGGTTACTTGAAATGCTAGGGTGTTATTTAAACTAAATTTTCAAAGATTTTAAGCATTTCCATCAACCAGTTAATCCAAAACTAATTGATCAAAGCAGCTACTTATTGTAATATAGTATAAAATTCTTTGAAAACAATATAATTAAATGTGCAGACTTACAGATAGAGAGAGGTTGTCGTGAAAATCAGACATATGATGATCGAGCTCTTGCTTTATTGGGGCCTGTGACTGTGGAGACACAGATCTACCACCGTCTTCTAGATCCACTCCAACCACATTGTTGGACTTTAGGATCGTAGGACTTGACTTGTAACTACACTGAGACGATGCCTGAAATCATTAATTGAAAAAAAATTCCATCTTGAGCTTTAGATTTTTTATGAGTATTGAACTTATGTCTTATCAACTGTGCCAGAGAAGTAATTATTATCTCAAACATCAACTGGTAATAATGGCAAAGAAGTTATCAGTTAAGATTGTGTAGATGAGAAAGTTTTTACTCTATTGTTTCTTTAGCAATGCACAGCATATGGAATTCTATTTGAAAATTGTTTAGCTCTGCCATAGTGTTGACTATCTAACCCCACTTTTATAGAGTACTGTTTTTTTTATTAACCACGTTTTTTGTCTATATAATCACCTTATGCTGAGTAATGCAAAACTTTTCGATTGTTTACTTAATTTTTGGAAGTTGCAAACTAAATAAAGTTTTTACGATTTCACAATCTTCCTTGAACCTTAACTATCAATCCATAATAGTGTATATACACGTGTACAATATTTATAAGATAAGTACTTTTAATTGACATGAAACAAATATACAACAAATTGATTGTCTTTTTCTTCTGGTACCTTAAAAATTTGTAAATGCAACATTTTGCATGATTCTTATAAGGATTAAATTATTTTATCTTAGATTTTTCGTTTAAGTATATGGTTTCGTGGGATAGTGGAAGAGTTTTTTCAATACCTCAAAGTTTTTTGAGTAGTAATCGACTGATGAACAAAGGGAATACATCAAAGATTGTAGTCCCCCCTTGCGATTATTTTAATTACAGATTTTTCGTTCTCATCCATTTCTCTTTCTTTTATACTGACATCAAAACTTCTTCAAGACTTGAATCATCAGTGCCATACAAAAATCAATTGTTCTCATGAAGGTTGTCATTATTCATCTCTTCGTCCTCTGATTCTTCTGATTCGTTTTGAAATTCATTTTTATCACGAACATCAATACCATCTATATTAACATGATCTTTTGTAGCATTTTTAGTATGAAAAATATTTTCCGGTGGTATGTTAGTTTTTGGAGTTACTTTGTTCTCATTTGCTTTTGAAATATTATAGAACTTAAATTTTGTACAGTACGTCTTAATTTTTGATTTTCCATAACTCATCAGCTCATTAACATTTTGAAGCAAGATAACTTTCAACTATAGAACTTACTCAGAAACAGTATTTTTTATTTTTGTTTATAAAACAATTACTTATTATGAAGTAAAATAATTCGTTTGAAATTTTACATCAACTCAAATATATGGATATTCATTTGTTTATTTTGTCAACATTTATTCTTACTGCCTACGTAAATCGTACCGCAAAAATGCTACCGATGAAGGGCAGTTTTAGGGCCAGCTAAGGCTGCCGACTTCGGAATAAAAGTGCGCCGTAGTTACAATTCTCAGTAGGGCTATGAAGTAAGACATGCAGCAATCGGACCGAATTTTTCATTATACTGCGCCGAAAGTTCCTACTTTCGGCGCAGTGTGATGATAAATAGAATACGCACCACGTGCGGAGGTTAATAAATGTCCTAGATTTCACGTTATCCGCAGTTTATTCACGTGAAATTTGCGACATTCTTAACCTCGCTCACTAGGTGCGTAATATACTATTTGTGTGCAGCAGCCACATGACGTTTTCTGTTCAGGGTGTACTTCCAATATCAAGTATAACCCCCCACTGAACCAACACCGCTTCTTCTGATGGTAATATATTATCCAATACTAGAAGTCCACCGTATAGTATGAAAAATCTATACTTCGTGGTTTTACATTTAGATGCCTCACCTAGAGAACGAGTTCCTCTTCGAAATTCGCATGACACTTGACAAATTCATTAATCTAGCTGACAACCATTTTTGACTAATATTGTCCAGTTTTAAACTAGTAATCGACGTCCAATACTCCATGAGTTTTTCCTTAACACCAAGATACATGCAATTCAATGTAAAATCATTAGCCATATGAATTTACTATTGTAAGAAAATCATGGGAGAGTCTCCAATATGGTGCTGAGGATCTTTTTTCATCCTTGAAATGATGCATCAATCCTTTCAGCTTCTTTTGTACAACGAGCAATAATCAAGTTGTCTCTTTTTTCTGTAACCAGTATCTGTGCACCTTCCATAGACAGTGTGGCTTTTTACACACTTGATGAAAGATTGTGATGGCCTATCACAATTTATGCACATTAATTTCACTTTAAATAAACGTTCTTAAAAGTTTACTCCACTTTTCACAGAGTGTTTATATTTAAAATAAACTTTTCCAAGTGTAAATTTGTTGATAACAGCTTTTTTTTTACCACAATATGTTGCTGTGACAAAAGGCTTGTATACACAAGGGTTTGTATAAACTCTACCCAATATTTGTCAGAACTCAAGGATACTGGATTTACATGGAAATACGTCATAGGTATTCATCTGTATCTTCCAAAAACTTTCTTCATCTATACTTAGTAGGATTTAGTGTACATTGCAGATCTTCTGCAATACTACAACAGATAAACTGTGCTGCATAAGTGGGATCATTTTGATTAAATTTTTAAATCTGGTATTTTAGTTTCTTTTTTTCAAGTTAAAATGCATGTGATGAAGGTATATTGGCATCAAATTTTTTAATTTCGAATAATGAAAAATCAATGTGTCCATATGTTGGTTTGCATTCTGTGGCATAGAGTCTTAACATTTCTTTAATATAGGATTCATTAGAATTTTTATCATAATAATCAGTTTATCATACACGTGCTTGGTAACACAAACCATACGGTCCAAGACTTTTATAGGGCAAGTAGTAAACGGGCCATATATTTCTCTATGGCAGCCGTAATCTTTTTCCAATCGGGAGGCACAAGAAAATTAGGCCAAAGCTTATGCGTATGAGTAAAAATTTTAGAACTAATGACTCAGATGAGACGTGCAGACAAGTATTACAATAACCATTTTTCGCAGTATTATTTGCATTCTTGGACAATCATATCCACTATTTATCATACATTATAAGTAAGCAAAAAAATGTTGAGCAGACATCCATGAAACAGTTATGCATTGTGAAAAATACTTATTACTAGCTTTAATTAAACTTTACACTGAGTTTACTGCTAATGCCAGTATGNAAAAATTTTAGAACTAATGACTCAGATGAGACGTGCAGACAAGTATTACAATAACCATTTTTCGCAGTATTATTTGCATTCTTGGACAATCATATGTAATGTTTATCATAGAATCCGTGAAACAGTTGTACACATCATGTCATATCATATCTCAACATTGCGCAAAATATTTATAAGTAGTTTTAATTAAACTTTGTACTGAATTTACTGCTAATGCCAGTATCAAATTGATTAGATTAAGTTTATAAAAATCAAGTTTCTCTACTCTACTCCATATCGTTATCTCAAAGTACACTTAGTTTTTAGTTATTAAGCGCATTATATTATATAATTTTACAACTGCGTGGCTCCTAGTGGAACACGCACCTTATTTTGTTCAATTTTATGGCCTATAGCCAACTGTGTAATAATAAATAAATACATGAAACATGTGTATAAGCAAACGATAATTTTATTAACCGTTCATTGGTATTGAAAATCATAATGCATTGAATATTGTAGTAAAACATTACGTATCTGCTTATTAGAGAAAAAATAATATGTGCTATAATAATGTGTAAAAGTTGTTACAGAGTGTTTCCTTAACAGGTACGATTAGCAAAAAAACACATGGTAACCAGCTAAAGTAAATGACACTTGGATAATAAAACGGTTCTCTAATAAGACTAAAACTTTTTATTTTTCCATCTAATGTTTGAAAGTTGCAAACAAAATAAGGTTGTAAAAAGAACAAGTGTTTACAATAATTTTTTATGTTTCTGAGAAAAACGTGTGTGTGTGTGTGTGTGTAAAAAGTAAATAAAAAAGCTTGCAGAAGCAGAAAGGTATTTGAAAAATGTGTATTGATGACTTGGGAGAAAGAGGTACAAGAGAATCAGGTCAAAGCTCATGAGTGAAAGTTTTAGGAATAATGACTCAGATGGAGCATTCAGACAAGCATTGCAATAACAATTCCTTGCAGTAATATTTGCATTCTTGGACAATCATATCCACTATTTATCATACATTATAAGTAAGCAAAAAAATGTTGAGCAGACATCCATGAAACAGTTATGCATTGTGAAAAATACTTATTACTAGCTTTAATTAAACTTTACACTGAGTTTACTGCTAATGCCAGTATGAAATTGATTAGTTTAAGTTTATAAAAATCAAGTTTTTCTGTTGTACTCCATATTGTTATCTCAGGGTTCATTCAGTTTTTAGTTATTAAGCGCATTATATTATATAATTTTACAGCTGTGTGGCTCCCAGAAGAACACACACCTTATTTTATTCAATTGGTCCTTTGGCACGTTGATTAATAATAAGTAAATAAATGTGTGAATCAGATGTATAAGCAAGCAAGTATTTTACTGAAAGATGATTGCATGGAAATATTTCCATGTACTAAGTAATTGTACAAAGCTTGTACATGAAACTACTGTGTGAAGCACCAATGTACAGGAAAATTTCCAAACAAATCAACTAGCTGACTATTGAATAACAGTTCTATGGTATTGAAAATCATAGTGCACTGAAAATTATAGTAAAAAATACTATCTGCTTATTACAGGAAAAATAATATTTGCTATTATAATGTGTCAGAGTGTTTCTTCAACAAGTACGATTAGCAAAAAACACATGGTCAAACCAGCTAAGTAAATGACATTTGGGTAATCAAACGTTTCTGTCATGAGAATAAAAGTTGTGTCTCATAAGATTATCCAACTAAACAATGTTTTCAATCAGTTGGCACATGTAAATGTACTTCAAAGGACAAAACTTGGGACAACACAAAACAGTAAGAAAGAGCTCCTCACCTGAGAATCAGAGAGGAATCTTTCGCTGGGTGGTCCCGAAAGCGTAACATCGTAGTTCCCTGAGATTTTTCGTTTCCTCTTTTCAGGATGGCTGTGTACGCTAGGCGATTCTGAATGCCTGATGTTAGCCTGGACCGCGGGTTCAGGGCTTGGGCTCTTCTCGTCGGGCTTGTTATTGACACTGTTGTCCGTCAGGCCTCGGATCTGCAGAGCCTCGGCGGTCTTGAGGAACATGGGCAGCAGGTGCTGACTGACGTTGACCTCGCCCTTGTACATAAAGTGCAACAATGCCTTCATCTCCGTATCGTTGACATCTTTGAGAAAGATGATCGGGTGGGGATGAATGTTTTGCAGAAAGATGTTCTCGAAGTAGGGACTGCAGGCTGACAGTATCGTCTGGTGGGCCTTGAAGGTCTCACCGTCGCAAGCGAGGGTCACGTCGCAGAGGGCCTCGCGCGCCAACAGCGAACTCAGGACGTCAGTTAGGTTGGCCGGATGGTTGTTCCAGCGCAGACAGTACTGCTGGTCCATCTTGTTTATCTCCAATCCCGACCCTGCAATCAATCGAAAGTTTCAAGGCTTTAGTATCTCGTGTTCACTCAATTATTTGTACAGTTAACTCAATTGTTATTATTTATTTATTTTTTAGTTCGAATTACTTGTACGTGAAGCATATTTTTTTAGCGATTAAGTATTCTCTATTTCTTGTTTTCTATTTATAGTTTTTCTCTCTTATTCCTGTCCTTTTCTACACCTATCTGTCCTACCTATATCGTGCAACTGCTGTTGTTTACACTCACTTGTTGAAGCACACAGTTAGCACTCATGGCGATATACTTATTCTTTTGAGCACAACAATTGGACAAACACACGAACAAATAAACAAAAATAAAAAAAGAAAGAAAAAAATACCAGTTATATAGAAAAACGGTTTCTAGTACCAGCAGAAGCACAGTACTAAGCGCGCAGAGAGAGAGAGAGAGAGAGGGAAGGACGGAACATACGGAGCTCTGTGTATATACATATATACAGGAAACCTACTACAACTACAAAAACACAGACACACACACACACACAGACACACGTGCCTCTCTCGGCTAACTGTAACTGTAACTTCACTAGTGCCCCACGTCGGTCGAGCGTATAGCAGACCTTTGCTTCTTTTTTTTTCCTTTTTTTTTATTGTGTAGGTATATAATCGTCAACTGCACTTTACTAAGAAGGTGTGTGTAAGATTTCCAAGTATATTTATCCGCATTGATGTAAAGACAAACATTACAAGTCTTGATGCGAAAGATTATCGGAGCGAGAATTCATGTAAGATTCGTATGTACCCAAGAGCCAAGGACGCGCTCGCATTCCAAAAATTTTTCTCCTCCTCCTCCTCGACGCGTATATACATGGTATATGGCACACACAACCTATAAAGTATCACAAGCGAAAAAAAAAAGTAAATAAATAAATAACATAAGCAAAGTATGTATATCGCATCAGCAACAATCAAGGGAACGAAAATGTAACTCACTCCAAGTGCATCGTATGCGTATAGGTGTGCACGAGATGTATTTTTTTATTTTTTTTTTTTTTATCCAAAATGATAATATGTGATGCAAGAAGCCTCCCCTCCGACGACTCGTGTACTTGTAGGTATATAGATATATTTTTGAGTGTGGAAGTAACGTACCGTCTGTACCAATACACATAGGGGAGGGAGAGCAAGGGAAGAGAGGAGGGTACGTACGACGAGCGATGCGGAAGGGGACAAAATAACAAAACGAGGACTGCTATAGGTATATTATTCGTGTGTTTTACAGCAGGGCAGATCGGAGCAGCCAGCCTGCACGCACATCGTTATACCTATATACATAAGCGTGTACTGCAAGGGAGAGAAATTTTATTGAGAGAAAAAAGGAGAGGAGGACGCTCCCCGTTCTTTTGATATACTCTCCGTCTCTCTCTCTTTCTCTAGTGTAGATATCTGCTCATTTTCTAGTTTGTGTTTTAACATGGATGCGAATGTGGGCAGATAATGTGTACACCTATATTTACAGCCCTCCGATCTGATATGTCGCGGAAGCTGATTCGTATTCTCCGAAAAGTACTTGTGCCCCCCCCCCCCCCAAGACTCGTGCACGGAGGTTAATCGATTGATAAAAGAAAACAAAATAAAAAAAAAAAAAGGTTTAGCTGCTGCACTTTACCTAAATACACGGACGTATGCGCACATATACGTCGTCGCCGTCGTCGTCTCGTCGTGCAGCGTGCAACAGCGCGTACCTTCGTCTTCTCTTCCTCTTTCGCCTCCACACCGCCTCTATTATTTCGCGAGATGATGCGTATCTTTTTTTATTTTCCTTTTCTTTCTTATTTTCACACTTTTTTGCTTGCCTACTGCTACAGATATTTCGTACACAGATGATGATGATGATGATCGCTCTCTTTCGGAGTGTGTGAGTGCGCGCGTGTGTGTGTGTGTAATCAAACACCTAATATGTACACCACACGTTCACTTCACTCGCGATGATATTGAAAGAGTGATGGAAAAAAAAACGGGCGTATGTGCATGCATTTATTGACACAATCACACATTACGCACACACGGAAACACTGCACCAACTCGTAGTTGTGATCACATCGACGACGACGCAACTTGCACGAGAGAATACCCAAACAACTGCTTACTATTAATAATAATGATACATGGTGTTACGAACAAAAAAAACACTGGCCCAGCAAGTGTAAGTATAGGCAATTAATGAATAACAAGAACTATACACACTACTTATGCACTGTCAGAGTTAGACAGCACCAGCGTCAGCAGCAGCCCGTCGTCCTCGGTGCTTCTGCAAATGTGCCACATTGCAGTCTAACTTAACTGTAAAACCCTTCAGGGTTCACGCTCGCGAGGCTATCTCTCTCTCTCTCTCTCTCTCTCTGCGCCGTGTTGCGCCGTCCTCTCCTCTCTTGCGTGCGTGTGTAACTATACACATATGTGTGTGTTCACGTTATATAGGTACGAAGTGAGGAACTACTACGCGTGCCGAAAACATTTTTTCGCATAACCTCCCGTTGCTCTCTCGGGCCTATGGCGTATTATATGCTCTCCCCCTCTTCTCTCTCTTTCGTCCCCTCCCCTCCGTTACAACGATGCTGCTGATGCGAGATGCTGCTGGCTTCTCCCTTTTTTGATCTCTCTACTAATAAAATATATACATACAAAGGCCATAGGTATGTACGTGTGTTTTCAGGACATGAGGAAATACTGAAATAGACGGAATAGGACCGTTGCGATTACGGCTGGTACGTACTCGTTATACTGACCAGTATCCCTCTGTATGCTTCTTTTAACTTGAGTTTTTTTTTTTTTTTTTTTTTTTTTCGTTGGTACTCCTAAGTTTTATATGTATAGATTCTCGAAATTGACGTAAATGTTTATACGTTTGTTATAATGTTTTGCTAGTGCATAAAACTTTGTAAATAGAAACCGATTTCAAATGTGCGATATTGTCGAATTTTTTTTTTATTTTTTTTTTATTTGTTTTGAGCACAACAATTGGACAAACACACGAACAAATAAACAAAAATAAAAAAAGAAAGAAAAAAATACCAGTTATATAGAAAAACGGTTTCTAGTACCAGCAGAAGCACAGTACTAAGCGCGCAGAGAGAGAGAGAGAGAGAGGGAAAGTAAAGCTATGCAAAAGTGTACGCGAAAAGTATTGGGTGGTTAGAAACACTGATTTCAACGCACTAAAGCATTGTTTTAAACTACTGATGACATACATAAATCATAAAAATATTTGTTGCAGGTTAACCCATCACCTCTTCATGATACCAACTCTCAAAAAATGGACTACTACGTTACAGATCAAAACGATGATCATGATGATATGAAAAAAATGCTTGACATGAAATTAGGGAAATTTTTTCACTCTTGTAACATTCCTTTTGAAGTCGTTGAAAATTGTTATTTTTTGGATTTTGTCGAATCATTATCGAAATGTCGCATTTCATACAAATTGCCGTGCAGAAAATCCATAGGAACGTCGATACTTCGTAATATCCAAAAAGAAATAGAGATTGAACGAATAAAAATGATGGAAGGAACTCCAAGTGTTCTTCTAATAGATGGTTGGAGAAACAAATCCGTAAATAGAAAGTTTTTAGTGTGCACTATTCGCAATATCAACACCCCCCAAACTTTTTTGACTTTCTCCGACACATCAATGAAGAAAGAAGATGGAGAGTTTTTATCTGAGGTTATTAACGAAGCTATTGCAACAGTTAAACAAAAGTATGATACAGACGTTTATGCAATTGATAGTGATAATGATAGCAAAATTGTGCGTGGGGGAAGGCTTGCTCGAACAGTTGAAAGAAAGGAACTGTGGCAATCAACTTGTTCTAGCTATAACGGTAATCTTTTATTAAAAAATCTAGTTGATAATACTTTATTGGAGCATGTTCGTGACGTAATAAATGCCTTTAGAGATCCTAAATATAATGCATTAATAATAAAAGAAGGNAATTATACAAATTTTCACATCTTCATAAATTAATATATGTAAATTTTTGCATTATTAGTAATTAAACATATAATTTTCAAAATCTCTTAACAATACTTATTATTGTTTCATACAAATGTTGCAATACTGTTATTAATTTTAAAACTATTAGAAATGGATTAAATGTACAAGTTTTTATCATTCTCTCTCATGGGCCGTTTGATGTGAGCTGGTACAATGCTGGACTTCAACAGAAGAAATCGGAATTTTGAGACCTTGCTCCAACCTTTATTTGTTCTAACATTTTTTTCTGATTCAGCAGTGTAAATGTTTTTATACTAAAATAAATAATAAAAGCAAAACACACAAAATCACTAATGTTTGTGTACAATAAAATTAATCATAAATAATGAAAAAAAATCAATTCTTGATAACCATGTCTTAATTTATTGTACAGATAAATACAAACTGTTAATAAAACTCTAAATTTAGAGGTACAACAATCCAATTTCTATGAAATTTGCTTCTGCAGATACATAGTTATCAAATTTAATAAACATTTTTTTAACTCTATAACATGTAATAGAAAAAGTGTTAATGTGAAATCAAAAAAAATTAACACATGCTTCAACTTCAAAAACATAATTTTTTTTTTTTAATCTAGAGAGATAAAAATATTGGGACAAAGAAAAGAGGACTTAATAGACCAATGGTCCAGGCAGAGATTCGAAAACATGATGACAAATAAAGGTTTCGAAACGTTACACTGTAGAATCTGTAATTAAACAGAAGATAGCATAGAACACAATACGTGTGGTAAGGCCAAGAGGCAGAAAAAAATAAAGAATGGACTAATAAGATCAATTACAACATAATTTGTTTATATTAATTTTATAGGAACTTAATAAGCAGTAAAAATAATGAAAGAAAATGTCAAAATATGTACAATACTAGACAAATATTTAAAAAAAAATTACAATTACTCTTTTATTTTCAAAACAAAAACAAATTTAACATCAAAATACTTCATATGTACTTGAATAAATTTT